AAGTCCACAAGTCATAAAAGAGCCAAGGTTGCCTACCCCTGTCCTAGGGCATATAACAAAGCACCCAAGAGTGCCTGCGCACCAGGCTGGGATGATTGCATTGGCAGACTTCCAGTTAAAATATTTTGATAGAATGACTGTTTTTCCTGCTAAGTCCTAAGCAAATACTTTTAATAAATAGTTTTTCTTGACTGTTACAGAATCAGAAAGTTAGCAATTACCATAATACATGCAGTTGAATTGTACTGTTTCTCTGAGCCTTTGACTTCAATTTATTTCTGATCAGCATGAATCTACAGCAGACCTGTCAAACACAAGGCCTGGGGGCCAGATGCGACCCGCAAAGTGGTTTCATGTGGCTCCTGGAAACACTGAGGGAACGGCCCCTGCTGCCTTGGCCCTGGCCCAGGCCAGCCAGGAGGGAGCCAATGTACAATTTTGTGGTGGCCATCTATGCTGAAACGCATTCAGTCTTAGCTCCACAAGGCCATCTGGAAACAGTGAGGAACCAGCCCCTGCCGCATCGCCCCCCCCCCCGGTGCATGCTGGGGAGGTGTCACCTTTTGTGAGGAATGAAGAGATGCACTATAGCCTGGAAGTGGCCAGCAAATGGCCCTGGCCTACTTCACATATCTGGCTTGATGAGCTCCGAGGGAGGGGTTTTGGCAGGCAGCTTGGTCCTCTCCTCACAGCGCCGAGAGGCTGAGCCGGGCAGTGTGAATCTGATGAGAAGTGCAAAGCTGGTGAGCTTCGCACCACCCAGCTCAATCTCTTGGCACTGTGAGAAGTGCCCCACTGCCTGCCAAGACCAGGAAGGCTGGGGGCTGGGCAGTGTCGTACTTCTTTTTGGATTTGCGCCGCCTGGCTCAGCCTTGGCGCTGTGAGGAGAGCATCCCGCTGCCTGCTGATACCAGACAGGCTGGGGGCTGGGCGGTGTCGCACAGATAATGACCTCATGCTGCTCATGGCATCCTATCCCCCAGAGCCCACCAAGCCAGATATGTGAAGTAGGTGAGGGCCATGTGCTGGCCACTTCCAGGCAATGGTGCATTTCTTCATTCCTCACGAAGGGTGACATCTCCCCAGCTGTGTTTCTTGCCTGTTTTTCTCCCTCCCTCATCTCAAATAGTTTCCCACCACTCTGTACTTAGGAAGGAAGGAAGAAAAGAAGGAAAGGAAAGGAGAGGGAGGGTCTGAGGGAAGTCCTGCCTTAGTCCTGCCCTGCTGCCCCTTCACCATCCCCTTGCCCCCTCCTCCTGGCCTATCCTGGGGGTCTCCCATCCTATTGCTAAGGAAGCTTTGGCTACAAAGCTGGGTCTCCTCCCATGGAGATGGAATGGGCCTCCCTCTGACTTTACCCTCGTACCCATCATGAGCAACCTGGGTAAGGAGGGCAAGCACAGCAGCAGGAGCCTTGAGGAGGAGGTAAGTGCAGATGGAGGCCCCCTTGGGGAAGTGGGGTGGGCTTGGTGCCGCGGGTGCTCGAGAGCCAGGCTGGGTGTTTGACCTCTGCTGCCCAGAGTTCCGGGCAGCCTGCACCACTATCTGCCCCCCCCACATGGCCTGAGAGGAACAGTGAGGCTCCTCCAGTGGACCATGCTTTGGCACTTGCCCTGGTCCCACCCCGTTTTGCCAGAGACCCTCAGATCTGTCCCACTCCTGCCCAGGCCCCCACAGGCACCCTTGACGCGAACGATGTAAAGCTGGCCACGCCCACTCAGTAGGCCACACCCACTCCATCCACGGCCACCCAGTAGGCCGCACCCACCCTGGCCACACCCACCTGCCCCCCCCCCCAGGGCAACCGCAATGCTGATGCGGCCCTCAATAAAATTGAGTTTTTACCCCTGATCCACAGCTTTGAAGAATTGCTAAGAAAAAAGCTTAGATGGCTTGTGGTTAAAAAAAACATTCTTAGAACACCACTATTATTGTTGACAAGTAATAATCTATTCTGGAAACAATGGGAGTTTTCCACCTGAAATTGTCACACACGTGTTATTTGTGTTTTTCAGGGAACACAATGAATGTAGATAAATATTTTCTCTGGTTTTCAGATACTAGGCCCATTTTTGTTTTGTAATAAAATTATTAGGCTATAGGAAGCCATTTTATTAATCATGATTTTTTTTTCGTAATGGAAATAGCATTTGGAATTTTCATATTCTACTGACATTTATCAGAAGGCTGTTATTGAACCAAAGAAAGTATATTATAACAAAATTATTCTTATAGCAGTAAACAATGCTTTTCTTAGTTTTAAGGTCTTATGATTCTTCTCCTAAAATAAAAAATAATTAGGAATCAGGTTATCAACTTGCCAGTTTACTGTCACAGGTTTACTCTCTTTTTTGCCAAGAAAATCTGTCTTAGAAAAGAAACAATGTTTATTTTCTTTATCATGTCGTTATAGAAAATGGAAAGAAATATTACTGGCTTCCTTTTTTTTTTTTTTTTTACACAACAGAAGAGGAAGGTAGATTATTAGGACAATCAGATTTGGGCTGGAAAAATCTGGATGACAGAAAAGAGAGATACAAAATTCCAACCTTGCTGCTGTATACAGATCAGCTAGATTTCTGGAACCCAGTTCTGGTAGCCTTAACTACACCATAATTCTAGCCTTATATCCAAGTTAAGGCAAATACTTTATTTCCCCATTCCCAGGTTCTTGCAGAATGCTCCAGGATTAGAGGAAAAATAGTTCTACAGCTGTGGCTGAAAGTTCCGCTAAAGGCTCCTATATTTCAGGGAAGATATATTGAAATACTAAATTCTCTTCTTTAAGGAAGATAGGCAGATTTTCAGTAGTTAATTTGCGATTAACTCAAATTTAGACGAATTAAATGTTCATTTCTATCTCATCCTACTTCTGGAGATCTCAGATAGATGTGAGAGTCCTGGGAAACAGGTCAGATGGAATTTAATTTTGTCTCCGTAATCTTCATAGCTGATTGGGGATTTTGGTATTGGTTTTCAAATTCAAAACCAATAACACATAAACTCCAGTGGTGGCATTCAGCCTGTTCACATCAGTTCAGCAGAACCGGTAGCTAGTTTTTTGTTACCCAACCCAGAATGGACTTCCGGAAGCGGCATCCACACAGAGAACTGGTTGCTCACATATTTGAATCCCACCACTGATAAACTCTCACATAAAGTTGGGCATTGAACAAAAGGAAGAATATGCTGAAGTAATGTTCTTCTTTGCTATCAAATGTCCCAATGCGCCACATGGGCTTTTCTGAAATTGCTGCCCAGTGGATTGGCATTTTTATTAAGTTGCTAGTCCACAGTGGCTAGGTAAAGTTAGAAGTTTCTGTGATGAATTATTGTTTATTTATATAATATATCTTTAACATTTTATTGTTACTGACCTGCTTTGGGAATATCCTTTCAGAGCTTTTTACATGAATCTCTGATTAATCAACACCATAGGCCCTAAATTGGTTTTTTATTTCCTGATTTCCTCTGGAAAAAAAGTTACATGTTGTTTTGAATTTGAATTTAAAGTTAAGTAGCATATTTGATTGAAGATCAGTAATTTAATATTTTGAGTTCTTCAGGAACTCTTTGTGCATGACATCTATACCTAGCAATTTGTTAATCTGTTGATAAGCATAGTACTTTATTTTGTTTTATCTCTATTAATTTCCTTTTTTTAAATTCCTTCCCAGAGCAGGCTAGTTTTGCCTTTGTTTTTGTTCGTAATGATAAGCAATTTGTTCAGCTTTTTTATACTCTTTCTACTATGTTTATATACCTTTCACTCCTTGGTCTAATTAGCCAAGTTCTTTATATAACTACTTAGTGGTAATATATTTTTTAAAAAATATTTTGCTACATCTTTTATTTTGTATTAATTTTGCCAGTGTTTGTATTACTTTTAATTCTCTCATTTTGGGCAATAGTTATTTTCTCTTCTGACTGCTTTGACCTTGCACATTAATCATATTAGGATCTTCTTGGACTTGACAAATCTGCATGTTATATTCTAGTTGACATTTTATTAATTGCACTTTTAAATAATAACTATCCATAGATAGATATATCCTCTCAATTTTCATTAGCCTCATATTTGTAAAAGGGTTTTAGGAAGTTTTTTTTGGTCAAATCAATTGTTGTATGATTTCACTCATCTTAATCATTCTTGGCAATTTTGCAGTAACCTTTATGCTAAATGTCATCATTATCCCCAATCAGTTCAGTACTACTTCTGTTTTCTTCATATTATAATTACTTTATAGATTATATGGACCAGGAAATCATATGTAGAGAGTATGGTTTCTAGTACTATAAGCATGCATCAATTACATCTGTTACAAGTAATCATTTTCTATTATATGCTTTTCACCAGATGCTATATAGTACTATATGCTCATTATCGTTTTAATTTATACCCATTTGGTTTATCTGCAATGTTTATATTTCATCCTCAGGAAATATTTTATTCTAAATAAGATACTTCTTATGTTTTGTCAGTTTAATGCCCAAAATTATTTTAAAAGCTATTGTCATTTTGCCAATCCATTGAAAACATTTATGGATTAGTCGAAGTAAAAGCACACTCAAGCTTAGCTCCTGGTTTCTATCCAAACAAACATATAGCACAAAATTAATTTACAGTTGCTTTCTTTTGGGCTGTTTTCAATTTCCTATTACCCTAACGTTAAAGATCTTAAGTGTCACCCAGGAAACACATTTTTTACTGTTCTAGGTAAGAGACAGTTAAAGAGTCAGAACTTAGTGTTTTTATTATAAAATTTTGTGCTGGCCTCACCTCAGTATAACAGTGAAATTTGTGTCTTCTTCATTTCTTCCCCCCATCCCCATTAAACCAAGAACAAATGGTTGCTTTTCATTTTGAGAAGTGGATAATTCAGTCTAGGTTTGTTTTGATGGAGGAATAAGGAATTGTGGATAATGTATAATTTGAGAATTGTACTTACTTTATCAAAGAAAGTAGAATTGCAGATTGTAAAACTGTCGTTTTGTTTCAGTCAATAGCTTCAGCTGACATGGATTCAAATCAACTAGAAGCTTTTCTGACTGCACAAACAAAGAAACCAGGGGGAATCACAACCGATCATGCTATAGTTATTGCAAAATTTTGGAAGAACCAGCGAGCAAAAATTCATGAGAGTCTGATAAATCAAAGCAAGTGGGAAAATAGCTTGAAAAACATAAGCTGGAGAATAGATTTAAAAACACAGTCAAGACACATTGACCAGATGAATAGTCCTGTGGCAATAGTTGAAATGGAACTTGAGAAAAATGGACAGGTAAGAGCATTTTATTTTATTTTACCAATGTGAATGTTACATGTTAGTAAGTGTTTGCTTCGTAAAGATGGAGGAAAAGAAAAGGAATGCAGTTAACAGCTTATACTATTACAAATCACTATAATGCAGGCTTCTTTAAGTTTTAATATCTCAAGCTTGGATCATTGGCCATGCTTCCTCAGACTGATGTTTTCAAAAATTTGGGGGTGTAAACTTCAGGAAGCCAGTCCAGGTGTAGCTTGTCTCCAAAGCAGAGTAACCTATATTGTCCATATGGAACCTCCTGCATGATCTGAAGAGATGTCTTAAAATTGCAAGAACAAAGAAAAAAATTACAGCCCTTTATTCGTTGTTTGATTTACATGTCACTGTTGATATGGTAAATCTCATCAAAGTGATCATTCTGATTCCTACAGAATCCCACATAGCACAACATAAATTTCCATAATTTATTAAGATGTTTTACTTCTCTTCCTACAGAATGCTGACCTCCCCCCCCCCCAAAAAAGGAAATTCTTCTATTTTTAGTTTGCATAAAGCAGATGTAATTATGTGCACTAATTGAGCAGTAGCTGCAGTTAACATGGTAGAGAACATTTCAGTGCTAAGAGTTACCAAGTCACTGCTTCTTTTGGATTTATAAGATGTTTATTAAGTTTCATTATAAAATAAAAATACAGGAAAAAAATTAGGAAAAAAAGAGAAAGAAAAAGTGCAGAGAAAGAAAAAAAGTCCAACTTTTTTCAATACAAATACAAAACAAAAATACAATCTCAACATTTAAAGCCATTTCTATAATAACAAAATAATTCTAATTATAATAACAAAATCATTCTAATACCAAGGTACTGTTTCTTGCATATCTCCTTATATCTGCAGTTAAGGTTGTTGCATGCATATGTTTTATATCATATTCTCTATTGCAATAAGGTATTATATTTGTTGGTGTTAACATTTTTAAAAGGCCTTTTCTAAGAACAAAAGAAGTTGACACTGACTCAACTGTCTGAAAATCTGAATACAAAGTAACTGAAATAAGTTGCCTCCAGAAGTTGTGGGTGTTCCAACACTGGAGGAATTTAAGAAGAGATTGGACAACCATTTGTCTGAAATGGTATAAGGTAGTGATAATGAACCTTTTAGAGACCGAGTGTCCAAACTGCAACCCAAAACCCACTTATGTATCGTCAGGTGCTGGGTGGGTGTAGCCCATTGGGTGGGAGTGGCTTCAGTGGTAGTGGCACACTGGGTGGGACTAAAAATTTCAATCAATCAATTCCAACTTTGTGAGATCTTTTTTCCCCATGAGGAGTTGAAATTGATTGATTGAACCTTTTTTTTTTTTTTTTTGCACATGGTGGCGGAAGTGAAAAGGTTTTATAAAACCCAGCTGAAGGCCTAGGACTGGGGTGATGGTGCGTGTGCCCACAAAGATGGTGCGCGTGCCATAGGTTCGCCACCACGGGTATAGGGTTTCCTCTTTGCACAGAGGTTTGGACTAGAAGATCTCTAAGGCCCTTCCAACTCTATTATTTGGTTAAGTGTGTAATATGCCAAACAAATTGATTGGTCCATGTTAGAATTAACTACCTAATTTATATAATATATAAAGATGAGCAGATATTCTGTTTCCTAATTTCACTATGTTATATTCATAGAAATTCATGATTTTGTCAAAATGGCAAAATGTCCATAGCAACATCATAATGCAACCTCTACCACCTGAGTGCAATTTTGTGACACACAGAGAAAAATAATAGTTTATATCATAATGAAAATTTTACCTTTTGCCTGCTCCATGCCACCCATGTTTTTAACTATCTTTTTTCCCTATTAAATCTAAAATTGCCTCCCTTTCTTTCTGTGCTTACATATAACTGTCATCATGTGTTCTGGGCATGATATAATATGTGGATGTATTTCAAGAAAAAATACATGGTTATGTTTGTGTAGTAAGTCAAAAATAAATTGCATTATAACATCTTTGGATGAGTACTAAGCTGAATGTTAAGAGTTCCTGTGGAATTTCATTTGCCCACTACCCATGCAATTCATTCAATAAATTACCTCTGTGCTGGTGTTTGACCAAGATAAAGTCTGAATTTCAACTCAAATATTTAACTGCATTTCTGTATTGAAAATGCTACAGGAAAGATTTCATAGAAAATCCATGACACTAGAAAAAATGAATAAACCAATTAGCCTGAGTAAGACTGTTGCTTGTTGCTTAGGATGGGGATGAAGGAATGAATATGTATATGCTTGTATGTTAATGAGGTAGCACATAAATGTGCACGTGGACAGCTTCTGATTCTCAACCTGGCAGTTTAGAGGTCAAAAGATTGCCTATCCTAATCTAAAAAAAAAAATTGAAAGAAGTTAATTATGATGATGTAACTGTTAACAGGAGCAGAGAATATAAAAGTAATCTGTGATTAGGATGAATCTAAAAGTAGAATGAGGTTATTTTTAAAAGATATTGTATAACCTATTAACTTCAATAAGTTAAAAACGCTACAAAAATGATTTCATTAATAAAATAGTTAATGCCTTAGTTCAAGTAGAAAGTTATAATAATCTAACTTATATTTGTAATGATATTATTAACTAAATTATTAATAATAATCCATGCTATAATATACCAATGGATTGTTTAATCTATCTGTAATAGAACATTAATAGTTACAAAGAGAATTTTTTTAAAAAGCTGCCTAAATTCATACTGGCACCCAAATTTTTACCCAAGGAATTGAGAAGAACATTTTTAACTTCCAATAACTATGAAAATAATTAACCTACACAGTGATTTATGTTTAGTCTTCAGTAATGACAAATATTTCAAAAAAGCAACATGCTACAAAATATATCTTTTATATATACTGTATTTTATATATAGAAAGTGAGGATGGGACATATGAGAGTACATCATTGTTTTACCTGTGTAAAAATAATGTCAAAAGAAAAAAACTTAAATAAAAGAAAAAAAGCCAGCAACAATTTGGAAGCAAATGATTAAGAGGTAAATGATAGGAAATGCCACATAGGATTTTTTTAATGATTTTTATGCTGTCTCAATCAATCCTTGGCAGTGAAAAATAGCACAAAATAAATAATCCTTAATAAATCCATAATAAAGTAAATACTTCATTTTCCTTATAGAACCTGTGTAAGACTATACCCAACAATTTAAGGATATTCATTTATTTTATTTATTAGATTTCTTTCATACATACTTTAGGCATTGCTTAATTAAAAATAAGTGCAAAAAATAGTGTCTTATTATCCTCTGTTTTAATCTAGCTTACACCTTGTTTCTCTTACTTAACAAAAGTGAGATTCCTGTAAAAATAATTTGCAGCCAAGTTAGATGACTGGCACATCTGCCACAATTTATTAAAAGTATTAGTCTCCCAAGGGGAAAAAAATGATATTAGCATTGGTCATCTGGTGACTACGACAAATGAAATCACATGAGCATTGTTCTCCTTGGAAGCATATGTACTGAATAGAATAGTTATGTAACTGGAAAAAGTGACCTGAGAACAAAAAGAAAACAAACTGAAAGGACAAGGTTTATATAGCTCAGGAAGAAATGAGGAAAAGAGCTGATTTAGAATTCCAAACATTTTTAAAATACAGCTGTTCCCTGTCAGTGGTTATTTTTATCAATGCTCCTTTGATATATTCTTAAATATATGGAAGTGTATAAGTATAAACACAATGCATTCACAATAAAATATGTGGGAGCAAGAACATCTTTAATATGTTATATTCCCATTTATTTCTAAGCAGTTGCTTTCTTGTGCAGTTCTTGGTGCTCTCTGAGCTTGGCTGTTTGCTTACAGACAATTTATTATCAGACTAGATAATATCAGTGTTAGTAAGTGTAGAGTTGCTCCCTCTTTATATACAGTAATTTGCCCTGTCAGTGCTGATGGGAGTATGGTTTTCTGCTTGGTTGCTTGCCTGGTAATAAATCCTTGCTTATCTGGGTGTAGGCTTCCGGAGAGGATGTGTTTTGGTCTTTTTGTTTCCTTCTTAGGTTTTTTTTATTGTCTCTTTTGAATGGTGTGTAAATGAGGTTATCTATTATGTGTCCATTGATGGCTGATTTGTCTGAGTCCCAAGCTTCCAGGAATTCTCTAATGTTATTCAATTTAGCTTGATCTAGGATGCTTACAGTTTCCAGACAAAACTATGGTTGAGTTTGTCCATCATTGTTAGATTAAGGAATTTTCATCATGTCTTGATTTGTTAATGTTCACTGCTCGACTTCTGCCTGTCTGTTCTACATCCTCTTGGCTGTATGCATAGGAATGTTTCTAGACACTATATTACAGTCTCTGTTTTTAATCATGAGAGTGATAATTTTATGGCTGTAAGTCTAATTTTTTTATATATGTGTCCATCAAACTGAAAGTAGCTAGCTACACAGAGTTTGGTTTGGTCTATTATTCTGGATATTTCAATCTCTGCTTGTAAATAGAATATAGCATTTGAACAGAACAAGCATATTGTACCAAATAATATCTCAAAAGATTTGATTCAAGGAGGATTCCTATCTTACATTTCATACTAGGTCATAGTGACCTGAAACGTCTGAGCTTGGATGAAATAATGAAAGAAAACAGATCCTCACTGAAATACATCATTTTCATATCCAGTCTCCTCTATTTTAAAGTACTTTTGAAAACTTGGAGCAGACTCTTCAATTATATGCATCTTTGAGCTGGTTATCTTGTGTAACAACTATGCACTCACATGGAATGTTATATACATTCCATCTCTTTCTTTAGAAAATTAGGACTGGTCAATTCCTTTCTATTACAAAAATTATATTGAAAAATTCTGGTTAATACTTTTTTCTCCAATTTTTTTTCAGTTTCCACTCATTAAATAGAAGCATAGTGGATGAATTTAGTGTTAGCAAGTAACTTTGCTAAGTGCTTCAAAATATGTTAATTCCAATCCACATAATACCATAATCCAGTTGTATAAAA